CTGCTTGGCGCTTCAATTTTATAACCTTATCTTTCTCTTCATGCAAAATTTGCTTAATATCTACTATGCGCTTCATTAGGTTACACCGAATCTCCAAGTCAGTAGTAGAATTATAAATTCGTTGAAATTCGGCAAGCTTCGTGTTATTTATGTTTATAATTTCTGCGGCTTTTTTCTGTGCAGCGGCGTTAGGAGGGGGGTTGGCGTCAGCTACAATGATTTCTTCAATTGGTTTTTGAAAGGTTTGGATAACTTGGGCAGGCTTTGAGCTTTGAGATGATAAATGCAAAAAACTTTGAATTGGAACCGGGGTTTCAAGGTATTCTTTGATTTTACTTTCGATTTCTTCTTGAGACTTATGTCTAATCTCTTTCCACGCGTCAGTACATTCTGTACATAGACTAGCTTTAGGGTACACAGGGTTTCTTGCAATCACCGTGCGATAATATCCAAAGGCATTGCAGAACCTCTGGTGTTGATTTGTGGGGGTCTTATAAATATAAGATTTGTTGTATTTCGGTGTAGTCAGAAAAGCTTGCATATTAAGGAAGTTTTAGGTGATAGAAGACGCGATTAGATTATTGTTATATATAAGATTACCGGCTATATAGAAATTAAAATAACTAATACGAGTCACGTGTAATACGGTGAATGCATATGATTTTTTAAGCGGTATCTAATCTTATTTCTTCACGATCTTCAAATAGATTATGAAGCTTTACATGAAGACGATTCGGAAAATTAAGTTAGAAGTTATAAGGCTAATAAGCTTACGTCAAGGGCTACAACTAAATGAAAGGGTGCACACGGATCGGGTCGCAGTGGAAAGTCAGAAAAAAATGTGGTTCGTATTTATTGATTTTAATGCGCAATATTTTTAGTGTTTTTAAAACGATCTTTAGCACGTATAGTGCTACTGCCACAATAATTTCCGCTAAAATCATGACGATCAGTTTTTTTAAAAACCAGGTAAAATAGATTCTGTTTACAATTATTTGGTCTGATTTTTCTAATTCTTTACATCTTATAGCACGAGTTAGGCTTGTTTAATAAGAATAATGAGTGCGGTAATCCCGGAGGCAAACATTGAACCGCTTGTAAAAAAGCGAAGAGATACAAGGTGACTATTTATCAACTCAACCTATAGTATCTAATTGATTATAATTTAAACTAGATGTAGGAACATGTTCATAATAATGAACGTGGGGTAGCGATTTTTATCTACGTATATGGATTAAAGTATAATTAAAATTATTTGGCATGCCACACATCAACGAATCATGCCACATATTAACGAATAATCGTACATTACCCTTCCTGTAAAATATTTTTAAGTGATTATCAGTCGTATCATGAAAATTTGGAACCTTAAAGTCGAGTGGTTCGTGCTACGCAGAAATAAGTACTTGTAGTGACTTCTAAATAATAGATGTACAAAGCATGATTCATGATATAAAATTTCTCACATATGACGCGGTTTCATCACATTGGTCTCCGTTCCATGAGTCAATTTTGCGCAATTCGTACAACCAAAGTCAATTTTGAATTTCGCGCAACCTGGACCAATTTCGCTAATTTCGCGCACTCATGTGCAACCTGGTTGATTTGCACAACTCGTACAACAAAAGCTAATTTTACCAATTTCGTGCAACCTGAGCCAATTTTGCGCAAACCGAACCAACTTCGCGCAGCCTAAACCAATTTCACGCAGCCTGAGCCAATTTCGCGCAATTTCACACAAATTGGATCAATTTTGCACGAATATATATTATTTAATATAATCATGTGATTTAAAATCTAACAAGG